ATACATAGATAAATTTTTAACCGACGCCTTACGTACTTGCTGATACAGGGGTTAAGAATACAGGGTGCAACCCAAGATGCGTTTCTTCAATCAGTTAGACCCGCAATCTCAGGAAGAACCCTACAAACTTAATGTCAAACTTAAATGTGAATAAATGCAACTCGATAATACAATCCTGTCTTATACGATTACCGTATCAATTCGCAAACACTTGTTCGACACCGTTCTACTAATGATTTTCGCAGGTTTGAGAACTTATAATTTGGTCGACTATCCTTACATTCTACTTCAGCTTCGTTTCTTTGTTACAGTGTAAGAAAATTTGTTTTGTGCTGGCAGAAAAACGCAAAAATAAATCCCATTTACCAAAGTTCGACATGTCCCCATTCCGCAGATTTTTAACGAGCATTTTACATATTCCCTAGCAAAACTATTTTAATGGGATTGCGCCTTCCAGTGAAAATATATACGATACATTAATTACAATCTGTTATGCTCGGATATAAGAAGTTTGAAACTTGAATTAAAAGTAACAATGCAGAAACACGAGCGAATCTTGCAAATAATTACGCTATGCACCAACATTAACCAGCAGATAGTGAACTCTAGCATTTTTAAGAAAACCCCTGGAAGTTGTTTAACTTTTAATTGCAAATTATATCTATTGCAGCCAGCGTTTGTCTCACTTTGTTCTACCCCCTCTTCTACGCAAGTCGAGGCCTTCTTGGAGGAAGGTGATATATTATCTTCATATTTTTGTACACTCTCTTGAATTAAAAGGTATTATTTACGCCTTAGAATCAGAAATTAATTTGTGTTCTTTTTTCCTTGTTATTAATGGAGGGCTGTTCCACCTCTGGGGGATTGAATGATGAATTATATCATTATTCGTAACAGAACTGATCGATAATAAGGCATGTGGCGGCCTTCGGCTCTCTCAAGGTGAAGTTCACAGAGTCCGGAATCTTTAGAAAGTGACAAAAAAATTGATGCAAACTTTCATTTAATTCACTGAAGAAAAAACGTTGCTTAGGAAGTTCAACGATTTTAAAATATACCTAATTAAGTATTTGGTGTAACAACTGTGAATATTTACAGAAATAAAGTAAATTTCAGCCAATAATATTCTAGTTCATTACATTGTAAAAAAAATCACCCAAATTCACTCAATGGGGTGTGGACAGAAATTGAAACATTATTGAGTAAAATTTAGTGAAATTTGAGTGAAATTTTTTTACAGTGTAGCATTTCTTTTTAAAAAACGTGTTATCTGATTCCTGTACCATGTTAATTTACCATTTTAGTACCAAAACAGCTAACATTGCGTCTTGGTAACGATATACCCTTAGATCAGGATATAATTAAGGGGCCCTAACGAAGTCTGCTAAAACGGAGAAAATTTCGCCCGTCGTTAACGTAAACGAACATTTATCCTCATTAAAATAAAGTCAAATTACAATTGTCGGAATAGCATTCTCACACGTTACATCCAAGGGAACGCAGCAATCTTGTGTAGAGGGATGAATATTAATGAGATAAACACCTCGAGCTATCTAGGTGTAATAATAGAAGCATTTGCCGTCATTGTTTACAGCTTGCTCGTATTTTGTACTTAAGTTGATGGATTATTATAAATTAATGAGTTAGGAGGCGTAAATTCCTCCATATCATTCTATAGAATTTATCTCCCGAGCGTAATTTACTTCCTAAATACCATCGAGATGGTAAACAAGTCGCTGGATCTACAATGGGAAAATTCAATGGACGAATTAATGAGCTCGAGATGTATAAGCCGCTTGCTTGTATAGTCATTGTCAATAGCAAACTGCCAAAGAAGTAATTATATACCTAAGTGTGTAAAGAACACTTTTTCCAGTGTGCGATAAAAGGTGTTTTGTGCGTGAATTACAAACACTTTTTTCCGCTCACGAAAAATATCCCAAAAAATCACCTACTTCGAATTTTCTAGTAAAACAGTGCAAAATTCAAAAACACTGAACCACATCCACGATGTGGTTATAAATCCAGAAACCCAACCCAAACATTCGACGACGAGTCAAGATAAGACCAGGGATCGTCGAAATTTAGAGCGGCCACAGTGTAGAACAGCGCGAAGACTCACTCAGATAATTGTTAGAGCTATCAAGAGATGTGATCGAACGTCGACTATGTTTTTTGAAATTATTAACCAGGCCAGGCCAGTACAAAGTACGACTCTCTCGTGTATCAATTATACCGAATCAACATTCTACAAGGTGTTTCTGGAGGAGGTGTACATACTTCAGTACTCTACAGTTATGAGATTATTAAATTTGTTTTGATGCAATTTAAAGGAAAATGTATATAATTCTGATACAGATACTACTGTATTGTTGTTCATCTATTGAACTTTATGATGGAAAACAAAACTGATCTCGGGTTGACGCAGGCAAACGTTCTCTTGAAGCTATGAATGTACTTTACTCAATTCTTTTTTAAGAAAATGTTTTTGAGAAATATGTTTATCCAACCATAATTATTTTTTGCAGCAAAAAACCTTCAGTGCTTCTACATCTACATAAAAAGGGCAGTAGTATCTTTGAAGGATATAAGACCGGGGTAATTATAAATGCTTCAGCAAGACGGAAACTTATGTATTTATAACTCAAATCGGATTATGTTTCGGGTTTTGCAGGTTGCAGAACCCGCTGTACAGCCCGCTATCATTAGATTTAAAATATTTAAATGTAAGTGGGTCAGAAAGGGTTAAATTTCCGGCCCACGAAGGTAAGACGAAAAAGAATAGACAACTGAAATAATTTTTATTCATAGCGGATCCGTTTATTAGCATTTTAAATGAATTTAAATGGAATCATTTAAATACCGCCCGAAGTTTAGACTTATTTTAGTTTTACAGTCGAAGAAGGTAGGAACTACAATATCTTATATTCAAATGCAGCAACGAGACGAAAGTTTAGATTCCTAAGTAGGATTATTAAAAGTTTAATTAACTTTCTCGGCGTTAAGTGAAAAAAGTTTCTGGTGAGTAACGGGAGAGAGACATTAGTGGACTACTTCGGAAAAGGTTATTTCTCACTAAGATAACGCTAAACCAACTACAACGCTCCCTATTTGCTTTTGTCTTCTTCAAAGATTAATTGAAGCTTAAGATGGATGTTGATCTAGGTATGAACTCTCACTTCCAAAGAGTGTGTAAAACAACAGGGAGAAAATAATAACAATAATGCATGCTGGATACTTCCAAGTGCTTAAATCTGAATATTAGACTTATATTGCACTTCTTTACTCTTAATACCTAGGAATCTTTGACCTACCCTTGTTGTTCTCGGGCGAGGCTCTGTGGGGGCAGTCCCGCTTTCACAATGCTTAATCCCGCCTTGATGTTAGTGTAACCTGAGAGGTTATTACATAAATTTTCGTCTTTTCTTCCAGACACCATAAACAACAACAAATGCTTCTTATTGGCTTTATTTTATATGTATTTTATGTATATGTATATATTTTATACGGAAAATCACTTTTTTTATTCAAAGTATCTAAGATTTTTCATTGGAAATTGCAGTTTCCACTGTTCCAGATCAGTTTAGACAAAGAAGAAAAGCATAAATTAAAAATATGCAAGAAACTAAATCGGATTGTTATGTCATTTAACAGGACGCAAATGACAAGCAAAGGAAATAACATTCTCTTTTCTTTGCCCGGCATTATAGAAAGCATCTCATTATTTTTCATTGTAATTACGTACGAGAATAATAATGATTGGCATTTTATTTTTTAAAAAGTAGTCGTCGATCTCTAAGATGAAGGCGATTAAAGCATTTATATTTTGCAAAGATGCTGAAGAGGATCTGGTATTGCCATGACAATATAATTAGTGCTGCGTACAGTCGTTTTGCCATTACGGAAAAGTCAAAATAATAATACACATAGCTTACACTAAAATGAATTAAATAAATTGTGTTTCGATGTATTTGAAATTTATAAGTACGTGAAAACATCCTAAAAAAAAATCAATCCGCAACCATGCAGATTTTGTCGGAACCAATACACCCTTCTAATTTTTTCCGTCTATGTTTTGCCGCGAAAAATTTTCTCTAAATGAGAATTCCCTGTCGCCTCGTATTCGGCTGTATGCAAATTGAAATTGTTTTGCTCTCGACTGGACGTACACCGTCACACAACGGAATCTAAAAATAATTGCGTTTAATTGCAACGGAGTTTGTAAACAGATGTAACGAAAAAAAACCTCTCCTCTGGGTTAGGATTTCGCGAGATATTTTATTTTGTACTTTCTACCAAAAAAAACATCGGCAAATTTGTTGGGAGAGAAGCGCAACATTTCAAATTTACGTTAACAGAATTTTAGCTGGGGGATATTTTCCCACTAACAAATTAAAAAAAATTGAATTAGTCCTAGCAACTGCAAGGGACAAAATGCGATGTATAAATAGTTATTTACACCATAAAGGATTATTTACCAGCCGAGGATGACTTTGCGCACGAGCGGAACGAGGGCTGGCAATAGAGTCCTAATAAGATTGCACAGTTTTTGAAACTAGAACATCCTGAAACATATACAGGCTATACATTCCGAAGAACATCGGCAACGTTACTGGCTAATACAGGAGTTGATGTATTAGCAATCAAGAGACAATTGCAGAAAGTTACGTTGCTGACAGTTTAAGTAACAAAAATGAAATAGCCAACAACAGAACGAGTTAAATACTAGCTTTTCATATTCTACAGAATATTCAATTAGTCAAAATAGTTTCAGGTTCACACTTTTTTTTTCCGAAAATACATGTCTTAAAATGTAAATGTTTCTGAAAAATATTTTTTATCAGTCCTCGAATTCCTACGCATATAGGTAGTTATTAAAGGCAAAACGATATTGTTAATGTATAAAATGTAGTCAGAATGCAAGATAAACAAAAATTTATGCGTTGCACAAGATAAAGGCTTAGTATAAATACAAATACGGCTAACACGCAACATTTAAAGTGTTGAAGTTTTAGTAAAAATGTCGTACATAATTACATTTGTTATACTTGTCACATTATCTCTGGCTGGGGTTAAGTGCAAACTGTTCACCAACTGCGAATTAGCGCAAACCCTAGTTGGTAATGGTGTTTCCAGAGACCAGGTACCTACATGGGTCTGTATTGCTCAGCACGAATCCAATTTCGATACTCAGGCTGTGAACGGTAACACGGGAGATTACGGAATATTCCAAATAAGCCATCTGTTCTGGTCAGTACACAAACAAATATTTTTGAAGCTTCTGACGTATCTGCCAATTGTTTTGTGTTAATTTGTCCTTTAATCAAGGTGTAACGACGGCGACACTCCTGGAAAAGAGTGCCATATAACATGCAAGGCCCTCTTAAATGACGATATCTCGGATGACATCAGATGTGCTAATCTGATCTTTAGCCAAACCAAGAACCTAGGAGGCTGCGGTTTCTGCGCCTGGGTAACTTACAAGAACTACTGCAGTGGCGGGAGAAGTGACAAGTATGTTAGTGGCTGTAATTTTTAAAAATTTCTGCCACTCGAAACACAGAGTAACAAATAAAACGTTGGGAAATATTTCTTTGATTTTTTTTTTTCAAAACGCCCGATAAATGTTAAAATTGTTAATTAATTGATTCAGAAATGTCAAAAAATAAAACGTAATCTTTATTTCGTGAACCATAAAGATGGGAGCAAATAAAATGTTATACACCACGCAGCAGTTAAGTATAATTTACCAGTATCGGACTCTATTGTTAATCCTCGCTCCGTTCTGGCGCAAAATCGTCCTCGACTGTTAAATAGGTAATACTTACCTTTTTTATGGTGTAAATAACATTAATAATTAGTGCTTTATTATCTGACTTGACATGTCTTTCAAGTATAACCACCCACTCATTAAAAGTAATAGGTACGATATTGCTAATGTAGAAGTGAAGTTAGAATGGTAGATAAACAAAAATTAAAAAAAAAATTGATAAGACGCGTATATAAAAACGAAGAGCCTAAGTATATAAGTATTTCCCAATAATGTTAAATTATTTACCTTTGCTATAGCTGCTACTTTTTCACTAGGTAGGATGAATAGTATCTTTTTTAGATGTACACTAGCGAATAAGTTAACTTACAATGTTTCTATACACTAAATACCCACGTGGGTCTGCCTAGATCGATACGAATCCAATTTCAATACTTACACAAAATATTTGGAATATTCCAATGTGTTTAACACTCAGCATAAAGATACAGTAACAACAATAGTAATAACAGACAGATATCTGGACTATATAGGCTGAGTTCTCAACTTTTACTTCGGATCTTACGTCACACGTACTAACCAGATACTTAACCCTGGTTATAAAACTGCAAGTAGTTGAAGTCGACGTTCGATCGCACGTCTAATAGGGCCGCTTTGAAACCTGGACGATTATCGGTAAGATATCGACTCAAGGGAATCTGGTGCTGCCCCCAAACGTCGCAGTCTACCGCATTTTGGGCTATTTTAATGAATTTGTCAGCGAATTTGATGAAGCTTTATGTAATCTGAAGCGACTTTGACGTACTTTGTTGAATTTTAAAGCCGAAATTTTTTATATACTGCGACATATTTAATGTAGTTCGTGTATTTTCTCGTGGAACATTTCTGCAATGCCTATAAACCTCTCATCAAACTCGACTGGAAATTAAAAACCAACTATCTATTTCCCGGAGCACTTTATAGTAACCAAAGTTTGTTAATGAATAAAAAAGCGATTCCCGTCTATGTAACGGCAATGTGTAATTTAATTAGCGTTTCAGAGAGTTCTTTTCACCGTCGAGAAAAAGGAAGGATAAAAGACGGGGGGGTAGTTATGAAGTTCATGACCCTTTGTGTTTTTGTTCTCCTGCTAGTCGACGTAGGAGTAATTATAAGCCGGTAAACTCGCGTATTAATCGGGTCTGTGTTCCAAAAGTGATTTATTAAAGCTGGACCGGCTCCTAAAGAAACGCATGCACTGCATAAGTTGAAAAACTGAGGGAACATTATTCATGGATATAATTATATGGCAAGGAAAAGATTTAATTTTTCGGGAAAGAACTTTCGACGAAGGATTCTGACTGAAAATTTTATGGTTTGACGGGATCATACGAAGATGACCTTGACCGTAGCCTAGAGGTCAAGCTTGAAGGTTCTTTGAAGGTCAAACCAAGTTACGAAATAGGAAAACTCTGTTTGCAGCCGCAGTAAGTTAAGACCAGATCGTTATGGCCCAGCCCAGTCAAGTCAAGATAGTTTTGACCAGGCTGGCTGGGTCATAGTGACCTTGCCTCGATTGACCGAGTTGTAGCGATCTTGTCTGCACTGGCTGGGCCACAACGTTCTTGCCTTAACTTAATGGGGCTGTAAACAGTGTTCCCCTATTTGTTAACTTGACTTGACCTTCAAAGAACCTTCAAGCTTGACCTCTAGGTCGTGGTCAAGGTCATTATCGTATTATCCCATCAAACCATAAATCTTTCATATGTGCTGTTCAGAGAATATCACAAAATTTTATTCACAACCTTATTTGACCTTAAAAGTATTGGTAATTTGTTTGTTCAAGATTATTTGAAGGTCAACTCTTATTTTTTGTCCTCGGATTCTGAAAGAGCGGGAAATTTTATGCTCGGATACGTGGTTGAGTTATTTTTTCACTTTCAAGGTCGTCTGAAGGTAAACATCATCTGGTTACCATGTATTTGACTTGGTGAGGTACCAATCTAGAATTTCAAGACCTTTTATTTGACCTTCAAACTACTTTGACTTTTTTATTCCCAATGTGCCCGCAAAAAAACTATTAATTACATATTCTATATATGCACATCAAGCTTCCTGTTTGGTTAGCGAAATTACACTACACCGTGCTGCTAATGCCCAAACAACAACCATTTAAAACCAGTGAGACGACCTCTTGTAATAATTCATTTACCATGGCTCCGTTTTAATGATATGCGCAGACGATAAATTCGGGGAGGATAATTAAAGGTTATTAAAGTTAAGAGGTGCCGACGTTTTTTCAACGTCGCTAACCATGTCATTATACAACTCATGCATAATTTAACTGTGGGAATCGTCATTAAATCATTTGTGACGGATGCTTCGATAAATAAAATGTGAACCAGTTGGTCTGGGCGATGAGGTGTTACACATACTTAAATAGATAGCTAATGGGGATGTCATTAAAGTTGAAATGTATAACCTGTAAGCTGTTGTGCTAAGTGTTACATTATATGTCAAGAGACAGAGATTACATGCGTGTATTTTTATAAGATAGCTGAATGAAGTTGGTGTGTATCTGCATATCTTTGAATTTATTTCTAAATAAATATTTTAATTAATGCTGCTAGCTCTAGTCCTTCTATTTATCCAGGAAGGTACAATCAATATGTATTTTTGATAAATATGTAAATATTGCTGAGTATAAAGATACAGCAAAAAATAATAGAAATAGACAACAGTCAAATATTTGAGTTCGAAACGTTAACTTTAGATCATGCCTCACACGCACTGGCCAGGTACTTGACCCCTGGTTATATAACTGCAAGTTGACGTTCGACCGTGTTTCTAATGGGAACGCTTCGAAATATCGACAATCTGCGGTATTTTGGACTATTTTAATGAATTTGTCAGCGAATTTGAAAAAGTTTTATGCAATCTGAAGTGACTTTGACGTACTTTTTTCTTTATTTTGATAGATTTTCGTATAATGTGTCATATTTTATAGCTGTTTTGGTGCCTTTGACACTAAATCATGCAAAAGGTAGCACCGAATTTTGGAAACATTAAAAAACAGAATCGGAGATTTTACTGTGATTCTCCTTGAGTCTACTGTCTTCTCAAGCTTCATACTTAAAGCGTCAATTGAATATTGTTTATATTTTAATACATAATTCATTAAATGATCGACTCTTTATTCCTGACTCACTCCTTCCATTTATTTCCAGAACTGAGTTGTTAAAATATTCAAATTTCTCGTCAACATAGTTCCGGTCGGCGTTAAATTACAAAGGCGACTCTTCTGTGGGATTAAATCGCATTGGACTTCAAGGAAGAGGCAATAATCGAACTATAGAAAATAGTGGAGCTCTGAGCACTCCCGACGTTAAACAAGACCTAAAGGAGAAAACGCTACCAATTTAATTAAATAACTTCCTTATTCTGCATGGACTTGGGGAGCCGGCAACTTTTCTCCTCATCGTCGAGGAAACTTTATAAACGGTTACATTTTACAAAGTTGATTAAACATGCTTTATTGTATTCGGCAGACTGCTCACTTATGTCTAACTTATCAAAGCGGAAGGTACTTCATATAATCTAATTATATTCTGGGGGCGTAGTGGATTAGCCGTAAAATTCAATTTTAGGAGACCCAAATAAAGAAAATTGTTTCAGGTCGGGAGATTCGGGACCGGGCTTATTAGCGTATAGTTGGGACGGATAAGTTCCACGAGGTTTCTGGAAAGCATGGTGAAATGTGTCTACAACACATGCAACTAACAACCTTGCCATTTTATGACGTTTGTTTTCGTTCTACATGGTGTAACCGATTCTCGCTGTTACGATTGTAGAATCGTGAGTGGCTCAATGTGACTACTAACCACTGAACCCCAAGAGCGTAATTCATTTGATTCTGTATGAAAGCATGATAGACCATTCTTAGATATTGTCTAGATAACATCCTACAAAGATACTTAAATGTATATGAAATGGACTTTGTAACATAATTTATATGTATATCCCATCTTAAATGACAATCTATAAAAACACCTAAACATTTTATTTTTGTTGCAGGTAAGATTCTAATTGTATGACCCTGGCTTTCTAAATTCAGATAATCAAAAGATGGGGAAACTGATTACTGCATGTAAAAGTAGCTCGTCTTTTCCAGGTTAATTGTCAAAAGTTTGTAACCGAACCAATCTTTTCACGGAAGTTCTTGACATCGACCAACTGCGACATCGTATTGCCCAAGCTTGTAATACGATTCGAGAGGACGTGGCAATGTTGCAACGCGTGCGAGCGAATTGGATAAGTCGCGCTGAAGCTTGTTTGCAAGCAAATGGTGGGTACATCGAACATCTTCTTTGAAAATCGGCAGTTCTCAAAAGATGCAATGTTGAAGTAAATGAGATTTTAAAATTACATTTTATTCAACACACAAAGCAACATTTACTGGAAAAACTTTCAAAGCTTTATTGTATTCACTGTGCTGATTCGGACAAATGTTTTGATAAAGTAAATACACAACCAGGGCTTTATAACATAACATCATGTTGAAGGCAATAAACGCGATTACTGTTTCTACAACGCATAAAACAATACTGCGATGACTATTCCCGCTTAATGCCGTACCATTAATTTATTTCATTGCCGGTCCCCAATTTGTAAACAGACCTTCGGAAAGGCGTCCGAAAATTAAATAAAATTCAAAGGTTGGGACGTAAAGCTTAAGGGGCTAATAGGAGCAATTAAATGACCTAACTCGCTTTCAGTAGCAGCAGTTTCAATATAAATCGAACGAATTTACCCCGGTATATTTCACCGAAATACGATTATG